ATCCTTCTTACTAAAGACTGGGTTTAACTTACTCTTCTTTTTCTAGTTCCTTAAACTGGAAGCTGAGGTAATTGATTTGAGAACTTCTTGTTTTCTAACAGGCATTTAGTGCAGTAAATTTATCTCTAAATACTCTTTTAGTAGCATTCTACAAGTTTTTATAGGCTGTGTTTTCATTTCCAATTCAGATTTTCCTTTTGATTTCTTCTTTCACACATAGGTTATTTAGAAGTGTGTTATTTACTTTCTCACTATTTAACGATTGTCCAGAATTCTTCATGTTGTTGAATTTTAATTCAATTTTATTGTGGGATGACATATTTTTTTTTAAAGATTGGTACGTGGAGCTAACAACTGTTGCTAATCTTCTTTTCTTTCCCTCTGCTTTTTCTCCCCAAATCCCTCCAGTACATCGTTGTATATTTCAGTTGTGGGTACTTCTAGTTGTGGCATGTGGGACACCACTTCAGCATGGCCTGATGAGTGGTGCCATGTCCGCGCCCAGGATCTGAACCAGTGAAGCTTGGGGCCATTGAAGCACAGCACACAAATTTAACCACTTGGCCACAGGGCCGCCCCTGGGATGACATATTTTATATGACTGAAATTCTTTTAAATTTATTAAGACTTGTTTTATGGCCCAGAATATGGTCTATTTTGATAAAGGTCCTGTATGCACTGGAAAAGAATGCATACTCTGCTGTTCTTGGAGTATTCTATAAGCATCAATTAGGTTAAATTCATTTATATTGCTGTTCAAATCTTTTATATCCTTACAGAATTACCATCTACTTGTTCTTTCATTTATTGAGAGAAGAGCATCAAAACCTTCAGCTATAATCGTGGACGTCTATTTCTCCTTGCATTTCTAGCTGCATGTATGTTGAAGGTCTGACATTAAGTACATAACTGTTTAGCATTTTTCATAGCCTCTTGATTAATTGACCCCTTTATTATTATTATAAAATTACCTTTTTTTTTTTTTATCTCTGAGGCTACTCTTTTGTCTATTTTCTGATATTTATATAGCCACTTCAGCTTTCTTTTGATTAGGGCTGACATAGGATATCTTTTTTCCATCCTTTTACTTTCAAGTTATTTGTGTCATTATATTCTAAGTGCATTTCTTGAAAGCAGCATGCAGTTTGGTCTTGCTTTTTGTCCAATTTAATACTCTCCCTGTCAAATTGAGGTACTCACGCCATTTACATTTAATCTGATTATTGATATGGTTAGGTTTAAATCTACCTTCTTGTTACTTGTTTTTTATGTGTCTGATTATTCTCTGTTTTCCTTTTCTTCATTTCTGCCTTCTTTGTATGAATTGCAAGTTTTTACGATTCCATTTAATTTTCTTTGTTGGCTTATGTGATATTATTCTTTGTTCTTTTAGTGGTTGTAGGATTTATAGCATACATCCTTAACTTACCACAGTCTACTTTCAAGTGGTAATATACCATTTCACGTATAGTACAAGAGCCTTACAATAGTATACTTCCATTTTTCCCCTTTCTACCTTGGTTCTGTTGTCATATATCTTACTTTTACGTATGTTTCAGAGTGCACAACATACAATTATTATTTTTGTTTAAAATAACCAATTTGCTTTTCAAGTGATTTAAATAATAAGGAAAACATCTTGTATGTTACCATTTCTAGGGTTTTATCTTTATTCTTTAGTGTAGATCCATATTTCCATCTGGTGTCATTTTCCTTCTGCCCGAAGGACCTCCTTTACCGTAATTAGTAGTGTGGGTCTGTTTGCAACGAACTACTTCAGCTTTTAAATGTCTGAAAAAAGATTTTATTTCTTTTATGTTTTTGAGAGACCTTTTTGCAGGGCACGGAATTCTGGGCTGAAGGTTTTTATTTTTCTCTTAATACTTTAAAGATGCTATTCTGCTGACTTCTTGCTTTATCATTTTTAATGATAAATCTATTGTAATCCTTATTATTGCTTCTCTAAATGTAACATTTTTTTCCTCTGGCTGCTTTTAAGATTTTCTCTTTATCACTCTTTTCAACCAATTTGATTATGATGTCCCTTGGTGTAGTTTTCTTTTTTTTTTTTTTTTGGAGGAAGATTAGTCCTGAGCAAACTGCTGCCAATCCTCCTCCTTTTTTGCTGAGGAAGACTGGCCCTGAGCTAACATCCGTGCCCATCTTCCTCTACTTTATATGTGGGATGCCTACCACAGCATGGCTCAACAAGTGGTGTATAGGTCTGCACCTGGGATCTGAACCAGTGAACCCCAGGCCGCTGAGAAGCGGAACGTGCCCACTTAACCGCTGCACCACTGGGCAGGCCCCTTTAGTTTTCTTCATATTCATTGTGCTTCAGTTTCAATGAGACTCTTGGATCTGGGGCTTAGAATTTTCATCAAATTAGGGGAACTTTTGGCCATTATTTCTTCAAATACTTTTTCTGTCCCTCTCTCCTTTTTTCAGGGACTCCAGTTACGCATACATTGGGTCAGTTTTGATTTACTGATTGATTTATAGTCTCATTATGGGTTGTATTTTCCTGCTTCTTTTCATGCCTGGTAATTTTTTATTGGATGCCAGACATTGTGAATTTTACCTGGTTGGGCAATGGATATATTTGTATTCTTGAAATTTGTTCTAGGAAACAGTTATCTGGAAACAGGTTGATCTTTTCCAGTCTTGCTTTTTAAATATTTGTTAGGTAGTCCTAGAATAGGGTTCAACATAGGGCTAATTATTTCTAACTATTGAGACAAGACCCTTCTGTGTATTCCATACTATCCTCTGTGAGGTTTTTCAGTGTGCTGATAGGAAAGGTACTACTGGCCCTGTATGAGCGCCAGGCACTGTTACCTCTGATCCTGTTGGGTACTTTGTCTGACTTCAAGTAGGCCCCACACATGGACATGCTGGTCAGTATTCAGCTCACTGAAGTGACACCCTTTACAGAACTCCTGAGTTCTCTCTCTCTACAGCTCTTTCCTCTCTGTTACTGTCTTGAAAACTCATGCTGCCTTGTCCGCCTGGACTCTCAGATCTGTCCTCTCAACTCCGAGAGTCCACCAGGCCTGCACAGGTTGCCCCTTCCTGTGCCGTGGCCCAGAAACTCTCTGAAGTCAATAAGCTGGGGCAATCATAGTGCGTATTTCCTCTGCTTCCTGTCTCTCAGTGGTCACTGTTCTGCATTTCCTGACAGTGGTTTGCCAACTATTATTTCATATATTTTTCTGTTTTCTTAGTTGTTTCAGTCAGAGGATAAACCTGGCCCCTTACTCTATCTTGGTCAGAAGGCAAAGTCCCATCATTTATCCAAAAAAATTTTTTCAGAAAATACTAATATAAAACACCAGACTTACAATAATTTCTATACTGATTTCACATAAAATACATGCCTACTTATTTCTTCTTCTATAAAAAGACGTAACAGATGATGAGTCTGGAAGGCTGAATGAGACTCACGCTGCCATGGATGCATTATCCAGTGTCCCCTGCAATTTGACCCAGAATTCTATACAATCTACTCATGTACCGTATCTTCCAGAACCACTCTGGTTTTTATCTGGATTCCCAATGATGGCTGGCGTGATATAGCAAGGCAAGTAGTTTACCATTTTCTAAGTGAATGATTTGTTGTTCTATCATACAAGCCCCAAAACAATGTTTAAGGTGTCATTTTTTAAAAGTCAAATTGCTCCTATCTTAGTTTAAAAAGTTTTGTTAAAAATACCAAGTTATACTGAACTCTTCCAATATTCCCAATTAAAATGTTATATAGTATAATAAAAGTCTAATTTTATCACCATGTGGAATGAACTAAATTATAACCATCTTTTACGTTTGTAAATCCTCTATGAATAAGCCTTTCAATAGATTTTAATCTGTAACATTTACGATGTTTTAATAAACTTTACTTTCTACAACTGTCTTAGTTTTACAGAAAAAAAATTGCAAGCATAGTACAGAGAACCCACATATCCCACATCCAGTTTCACCTGTTATTACCTTTTTACTTCAGTAGGTACATTTGTTACCATTAGTGAACCAAAACTGGTACATTATTATGACTTAAAGTCCACAGTTTATTCAGATTTCCTTGCTTTTGGCCTAATGCTCTTTCTCTGTTGCAGGATCCTATCCAGGCTCCCCCATGACGGTTGGTCACCGCGTTTCCTTAGCTCCTCTTGGCTGTGAGAGGTCCTCAGACTTTCCTTGCTTTTGATGGCTGGGACAGTTTTGAGGAGTCCTGGTTAGGTATTTGTAGAAGGTCCCTGACTTGGAATTTGTCTGATTTGGGGGGTTATAGCTTTTTGGGGAAAATAGCAGAAGTAGAACGCCATTTTCATTCTATCATGTCAAAGTCACATATCGGTATGACTTCTCACTGTTGAGGTTGATTTTGACCACAGCTGAGGTAGTGTTTGTCAGGCTTCTCCGGTGTAAACTCCCTCTTTTCTCCCCGTTTCCATGTTGTGCTCTTTGGAAAGAAGTCACTACACAGCCTGCATCTAACGAGTGGGAAGTTACATTCTGCCTCCTGGAGGGCAAAGGAGCTACAGAAATTATCTGGAATTCTTCCACAAAGGGGATTTCTCTGTTCGCTCCCAATTATTTAGTTATTCAATCATTTACTTGTATCAATTATTTATTTGTATCGTAGATATTTATTTTCTACTTTGGGTTATAACCCAATACTGCTTTATTTTTTTCGTTCCTCAAATGGTTCCAGCTTTGACCACTGGGAGCTCTTTTAGCTCCCGTGACATTTACAATGTTTTAAATGACAATAAAACCTTCAAAATGACTATTCTACCAAATGACTGAATTTCTCCTTAAGGTTAAGTTAGGCACTTAGGGAGATACATTACTTACAGGTAATGCATTAAATGAAATTCTGGTTGTCTGAAAGAATTCATCTAACAGGAAGTAAGCTAAAGACTAGGGAGAAAAGTGCCCATTATGTAGTAAATATTTTAAGAAACTAATGAAATAGAAAGATAAATGGAAAAAATCCAAACCTTTTAGAGCAAATCTATAAATGGCTTCACATGCTTTAGCCAAAATTTCTTCTTCTGGAGAATTAAGCATTAACACCACAGTTGCTGCCTTTTTGCTTTCAATTGTTAATGGATCAAACTGAAACGCAGAGAGAAAAATATCAGGTTCACATATGAGCTCTAAAGCACAGAAAAAATGAATGGTCTCTCAAAACTTAAAGAGAACATAACCTTACAAAAAGGATGCGGTCACTGCCCGCTAAATGCATTGTAAAGTTTTTATTTAAAAAACATCACGGATAGACAGTTGTGAACACTGGCGGCGTTGGAATTCCTGAGGGAGGGATGGTGGGAAAAGTAAAACGTTTTAAAACCTGACAAACCTGGTCTCTCAATTTAGCCCTGTGGAATCAAACAAGTGACTTAAGCTGCTAGAGTTTCAGTTTCATTTTCTGTATAATGGGTATAATAAGACCTATCTCCAAGCATCAGGAGAGGACTAGAGACCTTATATGTAAAGCACTTAGCGTATTGTCTGGCACATAATAGATGCTGATTAAATAAGACATATTAATACATTCTTAGTCAATACATAAGAATCCTCAAGTACCTGGATATAATAGATGCCCTGACAGTCTCAATAATCAGTACCTGCTTTCTAACCACTACACTCTTTCTGGGAAAGCAGGGAGTACATACATGAAACAACTAAAAGGCAATAGAAAACAGCATATAGCAAAATGTAAAATTGGATAAAATCTGGAATGGGGAAAATGGTACCATAGTTTAAAGAAAACACATAGAATTCTAGGAAGACCTGTATCCTGCTATGGGGTCTTGAGAATTCATGTGTTGCTAAAACGAATAATGACAAACTTATGACCCCTGGGGGTTGTCTTTGGTCAAAGAGAAAACACATTATTACACTATTTTTCTTCCATTTCCAGAGACTGGTGGTGGAGGGAGTTTTGCTCATGTTAAAGAAAAATTGAATTTCAAACCTTTAGCTGGCTCTTTATGTTGGCTCTTCCTAAATGACCATCTTACTGTGTTTTAGGATATAACAAAAATTGGTGTTCAGTTTTAGGTAGAGGATATAGAGACACATTACTCTGAATAAGGAAACATAATTGTTGAGGTTGGAAGAGTTAAAGAAGACAGAGAAGATGGCAGAAAGCAACAAGCTGAGAGGGCATGGGTGGGATAAAAATTCCCCTTGGAGGGGAACCGGCTGCTGGGTTTTAGACAGCATGATTGAACATCCAAATTAAAGCTGTTGTCTGTGTGTGTCTAACTCTATACTAGAAACTGTAAGAGTTACAAAAATCACGCTGTTTCTTCTCAAGCCTCTTTGACTCTTTTTGGGGGGACGAATCTTCAGAAAAAGCCAGCCATATGCACCAGGTTTGTGGTACTTGCGGGTTTCCAGTGACATGAATCATGGAGAAAAGATGGCCTCTAGCAGAGCCCAGAGCAATGAGTAGGATGCTGGCTGCCAGCCTGATAAGGAGAGCAGAAGGACCCGGAAATCCACAGAAATTTTAAGGGAGAACTTCTGAAAGAATTTAGGGATTGAAGCTTGAGAACCATTTTACTTAGCTACTAAAGGGAAGATTGACAGAGGACCTGGGCTCACTCACCACATTTTTTTAATCTGAAAAATTAGGGAGATGGGTTATACTTTTTTTTTTTTTCAAGATTGGCACATGAGCTAACATCTATTGCCAATCTTCTTTTTTTTCTTCTTCTTCTCCCCGAAGCCCCCCAGTACATAGTTGTATATTCTAGTTGTGAGTGCCCCTGGTTGTGCTATGTGGGATGCCACCTCAGCCTGGCCTGATGAGCGGTGCCATGTCTGCGCCCAGGATCCGAACCAGTGAAACCCTGGACCACCGAAGGGGAGCGCGCGAACTTAACCACTCGGCCACGGGGCCAGCCCTGGATTATATCTCTTAAATCTCTTCCAGATATAAAATTCTAGGATTCCTTGAAATACAAAAACATATGACAGAGACCACAAATGTTGGGATGAGGAAGGGGAAATTAATTTGAACTGAGGTAAATGGAGAAAGGTCCATGGAGGTGGTATAATTTTAAATATGATTTGAAGAATGAATACAATGGGTAGGTTGAGATAAGGAGGAAGGCTATTCAAATGGCAAAAATAACACTAGAAAGGTTTAAAATGGGAATGAATGTTGTATTTACGGTGGATAAAATAGGAGCTTGCCTAAACTGAAAATATACAATGGGAAGCAGAAATAAGATTGAATAATAAGGAAAGATGAGGCCTCAGCAAATGACCTAGGCCCTCCCTTCACCCAACTCTCTACTGAGGATAATCGACAAAGTTCAGAGGGAAAACGGTTGCGACTCTAGAAATTTATTTCTGGCTAAGCTGTCATTCATACGTGAAAGAGATATATTCAGGCATTCACAAACTCAACAAGTATATCAACTATATACTCAAACAAATTACTTGGCAAATATTCTACGCAAAATTCTGGAGGACAAAATATAAAAACAACGATAAATACAGTAAAATATATACTTAAACTGAATGATGATGTTGTGAATCATAATGTAATTCTTAAGAAAGGATTCCTGAAGTAATGATGACACATTATAAGAAAAAAGGTTAATAATGACTTGGAATTAAAATTCTAGATTTTTTTCAACAAAACTCGGGTAAAGGAAACTTTTGGTAAAGAAAACGAGATTGTTGCCTAGTTATACTTATTTTTTATATTGATAGGAAAACAGGTGTACATATGTGTTCTTAATAGGCTACAGATAGTAGTGGAAGTTCCGAATTACCAAAAGGAAAGGGTAACAATGGAAAGTTGTTTAAAAACACCTGGAATTGCTACATTCCAGTAAGAATGGAAAGCTCCTCAATTCAGAAAAAGAAAAGAAATTCAACATGAAAATGTAGCAAGGAAAACCAAAAACTTAAAATAAAATGACAGGAATAAAACCAAATGTATCACTGATCAAAATAAACCTCAGTAGGGGCTGGCCCCGTGGCCGAGTGGTTAAGTTCGCACGCTCCGCTGCAGGCAGCCCAGTGTTTCGTTGGTTCGAATCCTTGGGCATGGACATGGCACTGCTCATCAAACCACGCTGAGGCAGCGTCCCACATGCCACAACTAGAAGGACCCACAATGAAGAATATACAACTATGTACCAGGGGGCTTTGGGGAGAAAAAGGAAAAATAAATAAATAAATAAACCTCAATAGAATAAACAAATCTCATTAACCAAGATTGTCAGAATCGGTTAAAAAGCAAAATCTACTTTGTTTTTGTGTATTGATAGATATTTCTTCCGCTTGATCTTCCAGAACGTGAATTCAGATCTCTCTGACCAAGATATAGAACGTTTCTATCAACCCTCAATATTTCCCTCACACTCCTTTCCCCCCAAAAAACCCAGAAATATAAACATATAATTTTTAAAATCATGTTTTTCCTGTTCTTGAACCTCATATAAATGGAATCATATAACACGCACTCTCACATCTGCTTTCTTTAGCTCAGCACAATGTCTTTGAGATTCATCCACATTTTTGTATTACTAAGTCATACTTTTATGGCTATACAGTATTCTATTACATGAATATACTAGTTTGGGTTCTTTTAGTTGGAGCCCATCATGAATAAAGCTGCAATGAATATTGTTATACATGTCTTTTTGGGGATATATGCCTTCATTTCTCTTGGGTATAAACTGTCAGGGAGGGAGAAATTCTACCACTCTTGAGTTTTTATGGCTGGACTAATAACAACATTGATGCAAAACCAGAATAACAGGAGAAAAACTAATTTAATAGATGCACATGGAAGATCATTAAAAAATGATACTCAGAGAGGGAACAAAGCAGGCAGTTTATGTATCTTTTTACACAAAGAGACAAGAAATTTGTAAGGATATGACAAGACAAAGAAACTTAGGTTTGGGGTACATATTAGTGAGGAATTTAAGCAGAGGTTGGGTTTGAGGTAGTCAATTAGTGAAAGTAACAGGGTTTGTTTACACAGGCTTCTCAGCCTGAGTTCCCCAGCTCTGGGGATAAGGATGTCTCTATCGCCTGGGGTAGCAAAAGGTACCTTTCAAATGGGAGATTTATTTCCTGCTTTCAGCGGGAACAGAGAGAAGGAGGGTCAAAAGAAGAAATTTTAATCCAAAATAATCAATATGCCATTGTGGGATATTTTGAGGAGGCCTGCCCTGGGCCCCAACAATACCTAAAGTGGTCTTATCAGTTTACATTCCCACTAGCTATGAATAAGAGTTCCCGTTGCTCCAAATCCTCACCAACCCCTGGTATTATCAGTCTTTTTAATTCTCTTTCCACATCTCTTCGACTACATTTATTTATTATTTATTATTTATTTATTTATTTATTTATTTATTTATTTAGGTGAGGAAGATTAGCCCTCAGCTAACATCTGTGCCAATCTTCCGCTACTTTGTATGTGGGATGCCACCACAGCATGGCTTGATGAGCAATGGATCCAAACCCACAACCCCAGACCACCAAAGCAGAGTGCATGAACTTAACCACTGTGCCAACGGGTCTGCCCGTCTTAGATTACATCTTTAGATCCATCTGCTCTTCGTAGTTGTTACAGCAGAAGAAATGCCCTACTGCTACCTACTACGACTACATCTTAGCCCGAAGCAGAAATGTTCTCATTACTTTTAAAAGTTCTCTTCTGTCTCTTCTACATATTCTGACTCAATAGCATCCATCTATCATTCAGCATTGTCTTCTGTCATTGTGCTTGCTATCCCAGCAATTTTTCTTTGCTCACTCACAGATTGGTTTCCTTTAGCATCCACAGTGTTCAGGCTTTGAGCCTTCCTTGGTAGCCAACCAGCAAGTGGTGAAAGATACAGCTTTACCACTCAGCTACTCCCACCACAGCCATTCTTCAACTTCACTGGGATCCTCAGTACATTTATTCCCTCTACTTCCACTTCATCAGCTTTCTCATTCCTTCACTTTACTTCTTATCTTGCTTAGATTTTATGATCACTTATTTTAGTAACACTCCTGCCAAATCCTAATCCTTCCATCTTTTCATTAAATCAATTTTAGAAAACCCAAATCATGAATGCAAACTAGTATTTGCT